TCCATTCGCTAACAATAACTAATCCTTTCTATCAGTGCTATTAGATTGCTTTTGTACACTGAGAAATAAATTCTAATATCTGAAACATATTTACTTGAGACAAGTGATTTTTCTTCAATCGCTCAATTCTCCCAGGCATCTCCTCCCACGTGGCCCGAGAAAGGTGCTTTAAAATATTCTTGTACTCAAGTATGATTTTGTCGGAAATGAACTCACTCACATCGCGTAGAAGAATCGTCAATCTTCAAGTATTTATTGCTTTTATAATTTATTTTTATGCACTTCTAATAGTTCCATGTGCAGTAGATTCATGACGTAACGCGGAACGATAGTGATAAATGGGAATTTATTCAAGTTCCGTGAAGCGCAAACATTCTGAGATTTAAGCTATTGAAAATAATTTACTTCTCTCGAGTAAATATGATCTACATATCAGGAAAATTTTCTCTCAGTGTAAAACATAATTGAGGAATATTTGCGAATCTAAGGGAGATAGCGAAATTTTCGTGATTACATTTGTTGTAGCACTCAATCGGCTCTACAAAAAAAGTTATAACAAAAATTTTGCTATTTCCCTTAGATTCCGAGATATTCATTGAAAACTGGTCAATAGTCAAAATTGACTTATCTCCTTTTACCACTTCGCTACTGATTTGATCACTAGGGAAAGAAATCCCTGACAGTTTCCTCTGAGGCTGCAAGATCCAAAGATCCACGAAATAATATCCCCTCAACACAAAAAATTAACAATGACTATTAACTCAACCGACGTTTCAATGATTTACACAGCACAACTCACGACCTAAAAAATTTTAAGGTGAACGAAAAAAAAATCACCTGACATTTTCCCCTAAATTAGCACGATCTAAAGATCCACAGAATAATATTCCTATGAAAGTGAGCAAATTCATACTCACTATTCATATTCGCTATCGTTCCGCTGAATTATTGATCATATCGATATCGCAATTAGTGAAAACAAATTTATGAAGGAAAATTGATGTGATAAAATTGTGGAATTCAGCCGGCCACCCGATGTGGTGTACAGTCAAGTAGCAGACGTAACCCGAGACACGGCTATACGAGGCCGGTTGCTCATAATTTTCCCCCCAACAATACCTATCGCAGTGCGTGATTTGTTCCTTCGATCTCTCTCGAAAGTATAACATAATCACAAAGGAAAAGGAGAGAGACGGAAATTGCAAAGCGGGAGTCCCCCGAGTTATTGTTGACTGTAATGTGCTACTTGCCTGACTAATGCTATGACTCTTACATTGTTCGGGTTTAAAGGGGCTTAATCACCGTGATCCATTACAATCTACATGATAATTCTGTTATGCGATAGGATTTTATTTGCTGGGTGTTGAGTCCCGGGATTAATGCGGGTTTTTATCGTGATTGACTTAACTGGCGACTCTTTTATTGGGGTAATTCATTATCGGGCTTTTTTTTGGGGGTTTAATTGCCGGGAGATTACGATTGAGAGACACTTAAATCTTCTTTATCGGTTGAGGCCAGTTATCCCGACCGATAGAATAGAATTCGTAACTTTGGTCGACTGATGGTCGGATGAATTACTATTTGACTGGCAGTCGGTTAAGTAGATGATATAAGAAACGGATTGTTCTCCGATAATGGCGAAAACTGTTATGTTTAGAGAGAATGTTAAGGGTTTTATGTAGAGAAATCTTTTTACGAAACCAGATTTTCGGACACTTCTTCGTAAAAAATTATTCACAATGAAAAATATTTGTTAAATAATATATTTTAGACTAGTCGAATGTCAGTCTAGTACATTTCCGTTATTGATAAATGTTTACAGAGATGATAAAGTGCAAAAGAAAAGGTAAAAAACTATGGATTGATCAAATTATTCATTCTTGTCTCTCCAAAGTGATGTCTGATTTTTGGAACGCTGTATTACAGTAGAGGCTTCGTATAAGATACCTAAGGGACAGTAGGAGAGGAGTTCTGGGAACCCCTATTCCCCACTACGCGCGCCCATAGAGAGGAGAAACATGGGGATTAGCGGGTTTCAAATAAGATACCTCGCTCGTTGCGCCCGAGTTCCATGATATTTTCATTTTTACCGAATGAATATCGATAATTAACCAATTTATATGCGTTTAATGTTTTCAATTTGTATCGCCCGCGTTCCTTTTTCTCTCTAAACATAACCCCGCGTGATTGAATGGCAGCTGATGTTGGGGGATTGTTGGTGCACTTGAGAATAATCACTGACGGACAGGGTTGGGCAAGTAAATTACCTTAGGTAAATTACATGGTTTTTGACCGGTCATAAAGTAGGTAAATTACCCGGGCGAGTTGTCGGTTTTTTGACCTGTCAAAAACCTATGTGGCGCCATCTATTAGCACCTTGGGGAACCGGGAGATTTTTACCGAGAATACCACCTGTCAGAGTTACAAGGGTCAAAATTCGAAAAAATCATACCCACTGAGGTTACGCCTCGCGAGGGTCAATCGTCGCAAAGGTCATACCTCGCAAGGGTCAAACGTGACAATCATAACTTGCGAGGGTCAAACGTCACAATCATAACTTGCGAGCGTCAAATGATCATAAGCTGTTGCAACAAAGACCAAACGGAATAGTTTCAGATTATTTTTTCTTAATTCATTCATCATTCCACCCTTGTCATTGTTCTGCCTACAGGAGAGATAAGTTGAAAAATCACAAGAGTTAAAATTAAGACGCAGGCAAGCAGGAAAATCACAAACGATCAAGAAACAATCACAAAGTAGGTAAATCATAAGGGTCAATCAGGATAACTAGGCCGTGACCTAGTGACCTGTTTGACCCTTGTGAACCTACTTGCTTTTTTGTTTAAACTTTATGACCGTTGGAACCTTGTAATTGTACCGCCTGGCGTCCCCCGTTGACCCTCTTATTAGTTTCACCCTCCAGATTAAAGGATTGCTTCCGTTGTTTGACCCTTGCGACGTTTGACCCTAAGAAGGCATAATCCTTGCGATGTTTAACCTTCCCGAGGATAACCCTCGTGATCGTTTGATCTTGACGATTTCCGGCCGATGTCCCTCTCACTTTTGACCCTTGTGACTTTTTAGCTTAGCTTCCTTGTAAAGAGCTTTCTGACACTTTTTGACATTTTTGACGCCCCAGAGGTAAATTACCGGTATTTGACAATGTCACGTCATAAACTTCCATCTGCGAGATATGCCCAACCCTGCTGACGGAAAATTCGTCAAAAATCGATGTATATTCCCATTACTTGAAAAAAGTGGTGTGACCCCCCTTTAAGGTCATTAGACCCTCATGATCACTTCGTTCGTCCCTCTCGTTTGAGCCTCAACACCGTTTGACCCTTATAAGTACTCTCTTCCCGTTGAAAAATGACCGGGGCCATAGGTATCTCATAAGAAGCTCACGGAACATAAACATTCGGGAGGCGATAAAAATGCCGAGAGTGGGGATAGGCCTCGAGCGCTCGGAGCGCGAGATATCTTATAGAGAGGTATAATGTTGAACATTCCATTTACAAACAGAAAAAAACTATGAAAATAACCAATATCGTTGAAATGTGGAATGTTAGGGGCATACTGTCAGAAATTTTTTTACAGAACCATTGTTTCAGGCACTTTTCTTTGAAAAAATGATTCACAGTGCGAAATATTTGTGAACTAATGTGTTTTAGACTCGTCGAATGCCATTATTCACTCTTCCATTATTAACAAATGTCTATAGAGATAGAGAAGTGAAAAAGGAAAGTCAAAAAACAATGAATGATTCAAATTACCCGTTCTTTTCTCGCCAAATTGATGTCAGATTCTTGAAATGCTGTACTATTAATGCAAAACTTTCCATTTAGAAACTGCAAAAAACGAAATATGATGAGTCCGTCAGAATACTGTAATGTATGCGTGTTCGGTTAGAAATCTTCTTACAAAAACAGCTTTTCGGGCATTCCCCTTGTAAAAAATAATCCACAATGCGAAATATTCGTGAAATAATGTTTTGGATGCATCGAATCATACACGAATCGTAAATACTAACGAACCGCATTAATACTTAAGAAGCCTCGTTAACAGCGACTAAATTCTTCTATCAGCACAGTATTCCACTCTTCCGTTATCGATAAACGTTCAGAGTGATGATAAAGTGAAACACAAGAGACAAAAAATGATGAATGAATCAATTGAGGTAAGTAGACCTGTAGATAGACACCGCTCAAAAGATAGGCAGTTTCAACTTTTTTTGAGAATTGTGTAAATAATATAGGAATGTTGCTGCCAATTTCAATTTTTAATAATAACACTAATGTATAATTCAGTAGCGAAGTGGTAAAACGGTTTAAGTCAACTTATCTCCCAATTTTTTTGAAAAATATTTCGGAACGTAAGGGAGACGGCGAAATTTTCGTAATTACATTTGTTGTCGCTCTGAATCGGCTCTACAAAAAAGGTTATAACAAAAATTCATTGAAAACGGGTCAATAGTCAAAATTGACTTGTACCGTTTTACCACTTCGCTAGTGAATTGAAAAATGAACTTTTCTTTACGAACATTTTGAATGTCTCTTCTGATACAGTTGTCCATCTGTTGTCATTTTATTATTTACTGCTTCATTGTTTCCTCTTCGAATCATTTTTCCCATAGTTTGTATATTTTATTAGGTATAGAACCCGTCGTTAGCTCCTTTAGGTGCTTTATCTATTTTGATCTCTCAACGAACCTCAAATTCCCTTGAACCGTCTATCTACTGGTCTGCTTACCCTATTCATTCCTCTCTCCAAATTGCTGTGAAATTCTCGAAATGCTGTATTAATAATGTTGAACATTCTACCTCCACACTGCAAACAAACTATGAAAAATGTCAAATCCCGTCAAAATACTGCTATGAACCACTTAATTGCTATAATTGTGGACCAACGTCCGTCCTTGACTCGCCAACACCAGTCGCATCCAAAAATAAATCTCCGCCAAATCGCGTCTACGCATTTGTAATAAATTCCCCCAGAATACATCGATTACAAAAGCTAACCGCAACAATTTATTCATAAATAGTACAATTATTCCAAAAAAACATGTTAGAAATGAAATTTACAAGACGAGAAGAGAGAAATAGAAACAAAATACTTTGAATTTCTATGGTAAATAAATCTGCGACAAAGAGACAAAAAAAATATCTGTCTATGATTTAGTGTTGTATTAAATAGTGGTACATGTTCCCAAGATGATTTAACGGTTGTCGCTCCCCCCCCAAGTCCAATCTCTCTTTTTATGCCTTCCTCTTCTTCTTGGCAGATGCACTCTTTTTTGTGGCTTTTTCCTTGCCGGCCTTATTCGCGTACTTGTCGATGAGTGAATCAAAGAAACTCTCAGCCTGATTTGCTCTTGCCTTATTACGATTTTGAATAGCCAGTGCTAAATCATCAGAACGGCTGTTATTCTCATCGTTGTCAAGTGATCGAGATCTCTCGAGTCTTTCAGCCTCAGCCGCTTCTTTGGCCCACTAAAAACAACCATAAACCATCAAAAAATTACTCCCTCCTATAAATTACGTGGAAGTTTATATTTAGAATGTGTTTAGATGAGTTTATATGAGTGGAATGATGGTTTAGGTTTAGATGTTTTGGGTCTCTGAAATTCTTTCGGAATGTAGTACTCGACTTGTTGTCAGACTCAGGTACTTGGGAATTATTTATAAAATGTTCGATCACATGTCCACTTCACTTACAGACACGGAAACTATCTCGTAATGGTTTCTCAAATAAAACAGAGACAGGATTATAGTGGTAAATAGAGCTACTATTTTTGTAGACGTACCCACAAGCTTTGGATTATCAAATCAAACATTTCACTGGGTGATACGTCATCGGTGGTGAAAAGACATTTTTAAAACTATTCGACACATGTTAGAAATGTGAATGGCAAACGACCGGATGCCACACGTGTGCACTGACTGAATGCAAATGATTACAAACAAAATGGTTGAGAAAAAAATGAGGGTTTACGGTTAGGATAGTTTTCAATGGAATTTTCGAGTGAAGTTGTTAAACAAATAAAAAAATTTGACGAGGTCATTTCACTCCCTCAGGACAAATTTAAACATTTGCCGTTGTATTTGCCTTTCGCCTCTCACGACTGGTGGATTTGATGATTTGAGGTATCGAAGGGCTCCCTTTTCGCACTTCTGGAAGTGTGTTGCCACTTTCGGATGAAATTACATTCACATTCCATTCAGTTGAATTGAATCGTCAAGTTAATGAGAAATACTGAAATCAAGTGATATCAACTCTCCGAAATCGCTACACTGTTAGAAATTTTTTGAAACTTCAGTCACAGATGCATTTGAATTTTCAATATTCTGAATTTGAATTCAATTTCAGACTCAATTGCTCGTGAAATTCCCGATTTATCTTGGAAATTCAATAAAATAAAGTTTTTCATTATGATCATTGAATTTTCAATGATAATTTGGATTTTCAAACCTATCGCGAAAATTAAGCAACCGATTGAAAATTCAGAAGAAAATTTGCCTAAATTTTCATGATTTTCAGGAATTTTCATTGTCGTAAGAACCTGAGAAATCAAATTTCATTGAATATTCAAAAATATTGACTGATTTATCAATAACGAGATCAATGGAAATTCCACGTAAATTATTCGTTGTTAAAAATTTCAACTTTCAATTTTTTACTTGAAGTTTCAAGAGTAATTTTCTAACAGCGTAATCGCAGGTAAATGAAGGTGAAAAGGTTTAAGGATATCCAAGTATCAGGATATTTAAGGATATCCAAAGTACTTTGGCGGCTTTTTCTAGAAACTCCAACTCCTCAGCCATTTGCGGTCATTCAAGCGAATTTAATATTAAGTCAAATCAATAAAAATTAGAAGATTCAAAAGAAAAACCTTCCATGCACATTGGCTGTTTTTTTTTTTGCCAGTGAAATGCTTTTCTACTTTTATAGTAGATAGTAGAACATCATTTGAGCCCCATTTGACCCCAAGATTCCGGCCATTTCACAAAGATTTTATTATTTAACATTCCGTTGGCTGCGCTATGCGTGCCGCGCGAGTTTTTTCAATTTTTTAAATTACACTGCAGCCTTAGAAAAGTTTGGAAAAATTTAACATCTTATTTGGAAGTTTGCCGCCAAAAATATCATAAGTAGTTAGAGTTTCAAATTTTTATTCCGAAACTCCGGGACGTGTACCAGATATAAGGCGAATATTCAGAAAAACATGGCAATTTTGAGCTTGACTATATAATTAAGTAACACTGAAGATAAAAAATCTCACGGGATTTCTTCAAGTATACAATCTAGATCACTCTTGATTTATTTCAAATTTATCATTATGTCAATTTACGCCGGTGCGGCGCGGCGCTTACGGCGCGACCAAGCGTGTTCGTAACTTTGCGAACCAACGGAGTGTTAAACTTTGCAGGTCTGACTTTGAATCTCGATATTGAAATGTTGAAAAACATTTTAAAAAGCGGAAAAAGAATTAGAAAGTTTACTTTTGGGGGAAGATTGATGAAATAATTAAAAAATGGCAATTTCTTAAAATTACGAAGCTTTTCTATAAATAATTTATAAACAATAAATCTTACCACCGTAAAAATCATTTATTCGGAATCTGATGCATCAATCATTTATTCGGAATCTGATTTGTTCGGAATCGTAACAAAGTCTGAATTTTGTCAGAAATCGAATTAATGCCTAAAAAATAGGATTTCCGAAAGATTGAACAATTTCAATTATTTAATTGCAAACAACGAATGTTTAAAAAAATACTTCTTTGCAAAACGTAATTTGAATGACGCTGAATATTCCCTGATTTTTTCAAATTTTTCTCACGCAATTTAGTTGACAAATTTGATGATTGAAAATGGTTGAATTTATAGTGTGGTCAGACCAAACGCTAAAAGACACTTGGATATTCTTAATTCAATTTTTTTTGGAAATGAGACTTTCATTTAAGTCGACTTCCAGGATGGATAAAATAATTCTCTCGGCTCTCCTAAAAAAGTTGCATTCTTCGACATTAACCGTTTTACCTCTTCGCTACTGAACTTCATTGCACAGTACGAATCGGAGGACAATTTCACCTCCTCTAATAACTGCAAGTGAATATTCAAGTGATCACTGTTAGAAGTTTTTTGAAATTTCACGGAAAATGTTGTAGTAAATCTCATGAGAGTAACATTGAATCGGATTGGCGGAAACAATGGTCATGAAATTTCAAGTTTTAAGTAGAATTCACGGAAATTGATGAATTTTCAGTGGAGCATGAATATTCAGAAACAAAATGACATGAATTTTCAAATTTTCCGTGAATTTCCCTAATTTTTCTCAATTTTTACGGAACAATTGAATTGAAAAAACAATTATTTTATTGATCCCCAGATCATTTGAACAGAAAATCAATGAAATATTTTATTTTTCAATGACAAGATTTCCTGGAATTTCAGTAGAACTGGAACACGATAAAAATTTCCGGAATTTGGTACGCAAAATTCAGACGAGAATTTTTAACAGTGATGTAATATATGGTGTAATGATCTATCTGCGGAATAACAGATATAAAACATTTTTGTAGTACAACATTCCGAAATTCATGACTTCGCGGTGATTTTTAATTAAAACAATTAAAAATCCCCCGTTTGCCCCATCTCATTTCGCACATCAAGCTCCATTCATCGTGATTTCAATGACTTCACTCCCTCCGAAATATGCGATTTGAAATTCATAAGACCATTCGAAATAGCAGTCACGAAATCATTCTGCAAGACCTTTAAAATTATTAAAACAAACTCTTCTCAAAATCATTGAAATAACCGCGGTGATCACCTGAAAATGACTTGAGTTACCATGGCTGTCCATAAAACTGTCAGAACATCATAAAAAATATGTTACCAGTCCCGATAAATCGCAGTTTTCGAGCCCGTAACATAAAATAGTTTACGTCACCCAGTCCTCGAAGTACTTCCTGACGAATGTGACCATAAAATACTTTGCAGACTCTCTGGACCTTATGATGAAATCTCCGATTCCCCCAAAATGCCCAAATAGAATAACAGAAAATTCGCCAGTGTCACGTTCCACTTCCCCGAATTTTACGAAAAGAATATTGAGCCACAAAACGCGTTCAGTGCCATGCGAAATTCCGGTATTTATAATTTCTGGCAACTTTCCTTGTGGCACCTACCTAATGTTAGGTTCGCTAACCATTGCATAACGAGGATTATTCCCCCCGAGTCCATTGCCCACTACCACATTGATCGAACGAACGTCATCTACCGCGAAAAATCTTTCACAACAAAGTGCAAATAAATGGTGCAACTTCCCTAAATTTGATGAGCCGTGACATGATACGTTTGATAAATCGTGATGCTCCTAAAATAATGATATTCTCATCGATGAGATCATTTCGATGGCTCCAATGAGATAAGAAAGGGTAGGGTTCACTGATGGCGATTAGCAAGATTATTGGCCAATTATAGTATGTTGCAAAATGTTGAAAAAAAATTATAGTCCAACAATTACAGGCTACCGACTTGAGTGCTAGCACCCCCCGATGGCATGAAAAATGTATCTTGGGAAATGGCAGTGCGAAAATGGGTGTAATCTAACCGACACCGCTAAAGAAGCTAAATTATTCACGGACAGCCTTGTGTTGCATTGATTTTACACAACAAGCTTGAAGCATTGATTGTAATTGTCACCTCTGAATGTCACTGTTACAGCCACGGACACCTGCAATGCTCAGCTAACACGATCTCAATGAAAGAATTTGCCCTGCATTTCTAGGAAAATAACACTGAGGCGTTAATAAGCACATTCTGGCGCAGATGATTAGTGACGCGTAGGGATCTTAGTCATCTCAACTGCACGTGACCCTTTGAGAAAACCAGCAAATGAGTAACGGAGCTCTTCTGAAGGAAGTTAATCCAGATACACTAATCAGTGTTGTAATGCTCAACACCCTCTGATTGATTTTAATTGATACCGCTGAGACCATGTGGCGGGGAGTTCTCATGATTATTGAATCCATTAGTTCCTATTTGTTTCAATTTAATCCTGGGGAGAAATGCCGCCGTTACATTGAAATGAAGTAACTTCTTTGAAAAGGTTTAGAGGAAAATTGGGGAGCTGTTTTCTAGCTTGTTAAAATTTACCGCAATTGTTCTCTGAATCTATTTATCCGAGAAATATTTCCGAAATGGACAATCTACAGTTGCTTTTTGTGGCCGAATGAAACCTTTGTAAGCATGATTTTTTCGATATCCTAATTTTGGGTGTAAATGTCTAAAAATGTCATCAAACATGAAAAAATGATATTTTTAAGAGATGTCTGTATGTATCTGTGGCTACCCTTACACTGAGAGAATAATATGGCCCTTCCGAAAAACGATATGTTCCACGTGAGAATATTTGATGTAGTGGAACAGATTTACTTGAGGGAAATTAACCAGCCTGATAGAAGGAAATTTAATACCTTTCACAAAAATTGAATTTTTGTCGGGATCATCAAACATCCCTGGAAGAATTAGAACTGTTGGCAGGAAAAATATAATCTTATTGTACGGCAATCATTTGATCTGAGAGAACTCCATAGGTTTATACCACAGAAAGTATACATTGGCGAAAAAAAAGTATTTCTCCCCCAAAAAAAAATTGTCCCTTCGAAATTATTTAGTTTTATTAATATGACAGTTTTCGGCAAGAAAATTGTTTCATATAGTTCTTTGTGGAACGAATGTATTTACCCGAAAGACAGAAATGTCTCACGAGAACAATTACTACTACGAAAATGATCATGTTTTGGTGGAAACTTTCTTTTTTGTCCACAAGTAAACTGATTCCCCACGACAAAAAATCATTTCAGAGGAACATATAATTTTTCAGCAGAACTATATTTTTCTCTCAGTAATATTTTCCGGTAGTTAAAAATTAACATAACTTGATAGAAAAGTACACAAAATAATCAATCGTTGAGTTTTAGATAAATGAAAAACTCTCGGGAAGGTTATAACGCAGCAATTAATTCCCAATTAATTATCAGAATTATCTTAAAATTGCTTAATAAATCTGATTTCCGCGAGATTTCTAGCTGACATAAAATACAAGTGCATAGCTCAATTAATTTTCTTGACATCTTTCTCCGAATCTCAAAAATATTTGCGAAGCAAGCAATACGGAGTTCCCCTTCGTCAACAGATTCACTTGTAAATATTTTCGAAAGGGATAGGTTCAGAAAATTCATCAAGAGATATTTTTAACCCCCGGCGACAACCCAGAAGGGGATAAGAGTATAGACTTTTCACAAAAGCAAACATCGTTCCCCGTTCGTTAAACGCTGACGTAATTCGTAGAAAAGTACACAAAACAATCAGTTGTTGAGTTGCACATAAATTAAAAACTCTGGGAAAGGTTATAACGGAGCACCTACCAACTAGTCATCTTAGTTCCCTTAAAATTTCAAGATAAAGAAACATTTCTAAAAAATTTCTAGACGATACGAACTAAAAGAATAAGACGATATCAACTGGTTTGACTGGCAAAAAATGAAGATAAAACTCCCGACGAAAAGGTTGTGAAATCCACTGATTTGAAGCAAAATAAGAACTGTGAATTGAAGTCTCTCTCATTCCTCCAGCTAAGCACTTAACTTGGAACTGTCAAGATATGATCTATGTTCCCTTGACCTCGTCATCTTCCGTGTACTTCCTCAAATTTAAGCTCTCATTTTATTTTTAATTCATTTTTTATTTCCCCTAAACCGCGAGTTTCGAAGATACCCGCAACGTGATATGCATGAAATAATATCTATCCTCCTCTGCAATCAGATCGAACAATAACTCACAAAGGATAGTCCGTGACAGCTCATAAATGTCGAGACACGCAGTCTAGCTGTATCCGACATTTACGCAAAATTCAGCACGACTGCAGTATGAGTTAAGGATATCCAAGTACTTTGGCTATTTTTTCTCCAGTGAAATGTTTTTCTACTTTTGCAGTCGCTCATTAGAGCTTTCATTTGAGCCCGATTTGATCCTAAGCAGGGATGGCCATAAATATTAAATTCCAACAATATTAAAGGAATTTGCGACTTGCATTGATAAAGGTTTAAATATGTATGATATTAATTATCTATTAATAATTTAAATTTGCGATTGATGACAAATTAAAAATCTGATAACATGGAACTGCGAATTTTCCATTGAGTAAGTAATTCTAATTTCTTAAAAGGGATTACCAATTGACCAAATAATCGGCAATCTTCCTACCTAAATTATTGATTAATAAAATAGTTCAGAATTTGAATATTTAAATTGATGATTACTAAAATAATTAACAATTTAAGAGTGATGTTAACTAAATGACAGCTTGAAAATTTAACGGCAACTATGATTTATGAATATGACTATCCCTGATCCTAAGTATCCGGACATTTTACAATGATTCTATTATTTAAACTTTATAGATCTGAATTTGAATTCCGATATTGAATCGTTAGAAAACACTTAAAAAATCTGGAAACATTGGAAAGTTTACTTTGGGAGGAAGATTGATGCAATAATTTAAAAATTGCAATTTTTTAAAAGTACGAGCACTTTCTATAAATAATTTATAAAAAAAATCAATGTTCCTCAATAAAAATCGTTTATTCGGAATCGTAACAAATTCATTGATATTCAGAATTTTATCAGAAATCGTTTTCAGTCTAAAAAAATAAGGTTTCCGAAAATTTAAACAATTTCAATTATTTATTTATAAATAACGAATGTTCTGTGTAAAATGTAATTTGAATGATATTGAATATTCGTGATTTTTATCAAATTTTTCTCGCGCAATTTTATTCCCAAATTTGATCACTGAAAATGATTAAATCTCTAGTGTCTGCACCAAATCATAAAAGATACTTGGACATCCTCAAAGAGCCGTAAAAAAAATAGTTGAAAAAAATCAACCAAAATGAGAGCATTCGTGACATTATTATGGGGAATGACAGACGATCCCGTGTGTAGACGACCTTGGGCCCCTTTAGACATCTGGCGCATCGCCCTGATGCCCGGAAACTGAAAAGCTGCCCCAGCCAGCGCCCAAGAAATCCAACAAATCTCAAGTGTAGGTAAGCATCAACCATCTGACATTACACAATCACCTTCACTCATCATCTTGGAATTCAGATCAAAGTAGATTCAACCAATGGCTGTGACTGTTTGAATTCCAGGAAAATAACTTGAAATCCAACGGTTACACAGACTGGGTATTAACAAGTATAAATTTGTTCCTGATACTAAAGGATACAACAGTGTTCTGTTCTGCCAAGTTTAAAATTTCAAATGTTTAGGAAGTAAAGCTGAAAGACGAATTGGTAGAAAACAGTTATAACAAGGAGCTCGTTGTGATTTATATAAAACGATGGCGTTTAGAAGTGCGGTAGTAGCGAAATGGATGAATGACTCCGATTCGTTATTACATCTAATGGCCAATTGTGTTGAAATCCACGAGTCATTGAAGGTCGAGTGGTTGGTGGTAGGAAACAAGAATGACGATTGGTGTGAATTATCAATGTGTATGTTTCAAATCTTCCTCCCATCACTCCCTTTGAAACATCTCGCGTGCTATAGAAATATCACATGACTCAATTCATTCCTTCATTTATACTGATTGAGGATGACTATTCCCAAGATCTCAAGGAATTCAAGGACACAATACTGTTCTGATATACTTCTGTACGATACTACGAGTGATTAATTCAACTACCAATTGACATATTAAGACATGATTCGGAGATTGCATAATTTTTAACATACTATTATGCATATTGACATGGAGCATGGGCATTGGTAATTATTCCATTAGCACTGCGGATGTAATGCGACCCTCGTACCTCGTTAATTCCAATTATTATTGTTATCACGATGTATCACATTCGAGTGTGTCAACGTTATTCATGCGGTGAAAAAAAAGGTCATTCAATGTACTTAAGCAAGGATCACGATGCATCGAGATATAACGTAATGAAAACCATTATGTTACGTACGCAATTTCCAACGAGCCATGGACATCTCTCATCTCACGACCCCTTCCAATCGAGCCAAATTCCATTGTCTCATTCCCAATTGTCCTGATAATGTTTTTCATCCACCGAGCGAGCTTCAAATTCGTTGGTCAAGTCTTGTTAATAAATAACTTAATCTGTATATCATCGTTATTCCTTAGTTATTTGTCTTCTCTGTTTATGTTTATCTGATGAATTAAAGTAGGTACACGAGTTTCGGGCTTATTTTTTTTTTGCGTGAAGCTATGATTAATCGAATGAAGTCTTGCATCCTCCCCTTCCACACACACACGCACACCCCCTCTCCAACTAGAACGTTCTGATGAGTGAGTAGAAAATAGTTAATAGGACTAGTCCAGCGGAGGCAGCAGAGTGCGATGACGAGCTCTTTGGCTTAGCTGTCGTTGGAGATGATGGATTTGGTAGATTCATGGCAACTGGTGCTTTCTCCTCCACCTGTTGGTAATTCTCAAGGGGGCGAGGGGGTCGCTGTGCTTCACTGGTCTGTTTGGGCTCAGATGGCACTGGCTTTGATGTCTGGAAATCCGGCTCTTCTCTCAGAGGTGGCTGAGATGTTTCTAGGGATGGTGGCATTGGCTGAATCGGGGGGTAGTCAGTCTCGCTGAAGGTGTCGTCAGAACCACCGGTCCACGTAACGTCAGATGATGAGCCAGTTGGGTACCTAGTATCGTCTGTGTAGGGGTAGGGATCTTGGGTCGAAGACCTCGGTGCTTGCGGTGGATAATAAGGCTCATTGTATGGCGCACGTGTTTGTGATACTTCGGGTTTTGCTTCTGTCGGCGATGGCCAATTGCGAGTTGGATAAGACGGCTCTGATGTATAACTCGGTGTTGTGTACCAGGGTACTGAGGTCCGGTGTGACGCCTCACTGGTTGTTTCGTAGTTTGGATATGAAGCAGATGGTGGGTAATTGGGTGCGGTGGTTTGATAATAATTGACGGTTGGATCTGGTGGCCGAGTTGAGATTAGGCGCTCTCGGTAGCCGGGGGTTGTTGGGCGCATGGGACTCACTGGGGGGGATATGGGATCCTCGGAGAGTTGACTCCATTCGGGGTCCTTATCGAATGTCAATTGCTTCTGCTCAAGGACCTTTGTTAAGGCGTTTGGACACTTGAATTCGGGATTTTTCGCTATGAAAATTCGGCTCAGAGCGCCGAGACGCGACAGCTCGTCCACATTGAGGCATTGCAATTTGTTTCCCGATATTCTGAGATCAACTAGCTCAGGTGTATTATCGAAAACACCATCCTCTATGCTCTCGATTTCATTGTAATTTAGATCGAGATACGTCAACTGTTTGAGACCCTCGAACCATGACGCTCTGACAGTCCTCAAGTGATTGTTATCGAGACGCAATTGCTGCAGGTTTGTCAGAGCTTTGAAGGAATCCGGCTCTATGTCCTCTATCCCACAGTGAGTGCACATCAATATCAATACATTGTCACCAAATCGAGAGAACGTATCGCGTGTTATTCGCGGTATTTTCATATTTGAAATTCTAATTTTCTCGGTGCTCTCCGGAATTGTGTATAGATCATTAATGTAGCCATTTTCACAGGCATACTCCATCATGTCCTGATTTGGAACATTGACGCAGGCTCCTGATACGTATGTCGCGATCAGGAGCAGGGGGAGGATATCGCGGATTATGTTGAACATTTTTTGCAATTCAATATTCACTTTTTGTCACTTAAATCGGTACTGGGGTTATCAGAATTAACTCTCGCACATCTTTCAGGTGATTTCAGACTCAATTGTTTGGAGGGATGAAATGGGGTGAATTGTACGAACAATACTGGTACGTGAACTTGGTAGAACTGGAGTGATCTTGAGCGCGCAACGGTTATTTATTTACCCGGTATACCCCTTCTATTTCATTTTCGACCTCCCTCTACTCCCACATGTGTTACGATCGAGCTAATGGGCTGACCGCCTATCGGTATTAAAATAGTCGCCTTCGATGTCTGTAAACGACACACCAGGGGCATCTTGTGGTATCTTTGACAACAATTATCTCAAATGCTGAGGTTTAGTGGAAATTGACGAATGAATTGAAGGATTTTTGGGACAATTAGTGGAGGTAGTTACTCACTTTGCGCTTTCGACGCTCGCTCTTCTTCTTGGGCTCATTTGTGAAGGACTCGTACTCAGGCACTTCTTCTGCTGCGATCAGTTTGAATATTATCTCACGGAGGCGGGGCTCTTCCTCACAATTTGTGAAGGGCACAGCTTCCAGGATGTAGTCCATATCTCCTTTACCTTAATTGGGAGAATTGATGGTGTTTAAGTTATTTGGAATCATTGACAAGGTGTATATTATATGTGAGTCATGTAGGGATATTAAGTAGTTGGGAAAATTCTGAATGCTAATGGGGCATGAATATTTCATAATGTATTCCGGAGAATAACAGGAGGAAAATCCTTAGCAGCATTCTTGACTATGTAAATACTATCATTAGCCCTTCTAATTACTGGATACATTTGAATAACGTTGAATGGGTGCATTCTGCATTCAACTGTAGATTTTTACGGACACACACTGTTAAAAAATTTTGGCTGAAATTTTTCGGTACACTTTCTGGAAATTTTCATCGCATTACAGCTCCGCTGAAATTCCGAGGGATTTCTTCATTTAAAATTCAAAATTTTATGGATAAATCCGTGGAATTGTATATGTTCAATTATTCCATGAAAATCAATAAAAATGAGAAAATCAGCGATAAATACATTTTTGAGGTGTTAATAAATTGAGAATTAGCTTGATTTGGTACTGAATTTTCACTTTTGCTTCCGAAGTAAAACATTGTAATCGTCCAATTTTCAAATTCTCTAATTTTGATTGGAAATTTTTCAATTCAATTCAATTCGATTTATTAATGCTTTTGACATCGTCCCATCGCATGAGGGGAAGGGAATACCTTTAAGGCAATAGAAAAAGATTGGAAGTAAAATTTAAGTGCAAAAGTGGTTTGAAACGCGAAAATACGAAGTTTGGCGGCCATGTCTGTATGTGAACATGTTCACCGTCACCTTCCCGGTGGTCAATTTTCAGAAAATTGAGTAATTAAGCGGCTAAAGTAATTCCAAAAAATCTGAAATTTTGTCATATTTTAGATTTTAATGAGGACTTTGTGCCAAATTTCAGTCCGATCGATATGATAGTTTTTGAGAAAAAGCAATCATTTTTTAAATCGTTTTCCGCAAATATCTTCAAAAGTAGTAGACCGGTTAAGATATTTTTTTTTTCAAAATATTCGTTTCCATGCGTATTATGTAAATCAATCAAAACATATACATCCGTTCATGCAAAGTTTTCGAGATATTTCCGATTTCCGTTTTTTTTTTTCATAAAAAACTTTGTAATCCCTCTAGCTTGTAGAAAAATTGAGATATCCACTTGTTTTAATTGAAAGTTCAAGTAATTTCAGGAATTTGCGTCTTCCTGCTGCTCAAAATTTGGAATTTTATTGAAGTTTCAGTGAAATCTGAGATTTCATGGTAAATCAAATTCAATGTCACTCTCCTGAAAATTACTAGGCAACTATCCATAAAATTTCTATTTTTTTTAACAGTGGAATGCGATTTCTCGACTGCAGGCCCTCGGGCGATAGTCAGCTACAAGGTTACTTACGACGAATGACGTTAAACAATCAATAAAAGGGAAATCGTGAATGAAGTTATCACTGTTGAGGAAGTTTTGTTTTAATGCTTACAAATTATGGAGTTTCTTGTTGCGTTTCAAATGAAATTGGCAGTTATGGAAAGGCGTTATGAATACGCAGATTATTGCAAAGTTGAGGTATTTATAGCACTTCCATTCTAATGATCGATCTTGGAAGTTTTTTTCGTTGTTTTTTTATTGTAGAGTAGAAATAATGTGTATCCGTTTCTGCAAAATGCCAGAGGAATTTCGAGAGTGTTCGATGGCGGGCGAACAGAGAATGGATGATGAATGTAAAATGATTATTTCACAGAAAAGAGGAATTTTGTAATGAGACAATTTTTACTGTTGAATAAATTGTCTACATCAGAGAGTTGCCAATTTCGCCTAAAATAATTCATCAATGAAATGATTCTGTCAATCAATTCGTATTGTTTACTAGTTCAGAACTACAGAGTAGACTATTTTACAAATAACTTCCGAAAATATGTCTTGAGAAATGTATCGAGAGAGCTCCTTTCAAGGATTTTATTTATGAACTACAAAAGAGTTTTCTTGATATGTTTTTTCATTGTCAAAATAGTTGAAATTATTCTGTGTTGCTTTTTTTATTACAAAGTATTCGACATTATATTATATGTGTGGAGCGTTCTGTAAGACGCTAGTGTAATTAGGAGAGCGTTCGATTGTGGGGGGCTAGAGAATAAATTATGAATCTAAAACGATTATTTCATAGATATTTTCAAAAAATTAAATTTGCAAAATTTTTTCGTGCGACATCTTCGCAACTGACTAAAATGTCTACAAGAAAGACCTTTTGCTAACTCCTAACACAATTTATTAACGAGATGATTCTGTGTATTGATTCCTATTATTTCCTAGTCCGCAACTACAGCGTAGACTATTTTGCAAATATCTTTCGAAAATAGGTGTCTTGAGAGATAAATTGAAAGAGCTTTTTGCAAGTATTTTTATTTATGAACTATAAAGGAGTTTTCGTGACATGTTTTTTATTCGGAAAATATTTGCAAAATAGTCTGAATAAATGAATAGCGCAGTTACTGGAAATGTTTTGTGTTGCTCTTGTACTGTGGAGTAAAAATAATGTGTATTCGTTTCTGTAGAACGCTAATGCAATTGCGAAAGCCTTCGACTGTGAGAGGATAGAGAGTAGATTATGAATCTGAAACAATTATTTCACAAACATTTTTCAACAAAAAAAGTTTGCAAAACTTTGTTGAGACACTTTTTGCAGCTGAACAAATTTGTTCGACTGATCGACTTTTACCATTTGATTACCGAGGTTGATTTCTTTGAATTGTTGAGTTTCAAGGTTTAAGGCAATGAATTAGAACTTACTGTCCACGTAGGCTCGTTTCAAGTCTTTGATCTCAGTCTCAGACCCTTTGTACTCCTTCTCATATTTATTTATATCCTGGACAGTGATTGGTTTGAATAAAGTCTTCCAGTAGTCAGCCCAGTTCTTCATGACGACCTCCTCGCTATCCTCATCATACTGTCCAGTCTCATCGTAGATTTTCCGTTTGTCATTGTCACTAAGGATAGAGTGAATGAATCCCAGGACTTTGAACTTCTCTGTGGCTTCATCCTTCGTGGCCTCATCCACGCGATCAGGGTGGACAAGGAGGGATAGTTTGTGATAAGCTTTCTTGACTGAAAAAACCAAATGTAAAAAATGCAGAATAAATTAATCCTCAGATTATTCTCAATCGTTCGTGGAATTTTCCGTGAGAAAAAATTGAATTGGGACAATGGTATTTAGTATTTCTTTCAAAATATGTTGGAATGCAAGACATTGAAATTTTCATGAGGGGCTTAGCCGGTGGACAAAATTAAACTTCTAAAAATGCTCCCCTGAAAACTTGTAGATCTCTCATAGATTTATTGATGTTTCGAAAAAACTGATCTAATCTGAAGTCGGAATAATTAGTCTCATTTCATTATTCAACCTTTGCTAGTAAATAATTGTCAATTGATAACAAATCATTACTGATAATGATGGTCTTGGAAGAAACGAAGAATGAGTTCTGGCATTGAAGAATTAATTTATTATTAACGTTCAACAACTCCATTGTCCCAATAAAAATTAAAGTTTCAATAAAACTGGAATATCCATTAAAAAATATCTGAATAATCCCTTTTTCGTTGATTGTCAGTCGTCAATGAAATTTCAAATGAGTAAAAAATCGAAGTAGAAAAATTGAATCTAGCAGTTCTTTGAAAATATGTAGCTTGACATAGAGAGCTTATCGATAACTCGATATCGAACTTCGACGAGAAACTTTTCAGTACAGGATATTAAATACTGGTACAAAAGTTCTAACAAACATTTTTGTATCCTCTAGAGACTCATAGTTTTCTAAGAAATGTACAGTCAGACTGACTAATTCGATTTCACCATTTAACTCCATGACTGTCAGAAATTAGGAAGAATGTATTTTTGTACGACTATAATAATTTTGTTATCAATATCTCAATTACTCAGTTACATCGAAGCGGAATTTCATTATTAACGCTCATCGCTTTCATTTTCCCAATGACCACTGAATTTTCAATAAAATTGACGTATCCATAGAGAACACTGAAAATTACAAAAAGAAGTGCATACACAAATTTTTCTACCCACTAGAGATTCATAGTTTTATACGAAATGTAAAATCAGATTGACTAATTCAGTAGTGAAGTGGTAAAAGGAGATAAGTCCACTTTGACTATTGACCAGTTTCAATCAATATCTCGGAATCTAAGGGAGATGACGAAATTTTTGTGATAACCTATTTTGTGGAGCCGATTGAGTGCTACAATAAATATCATTACGAAAATTTCGATACCTCCTTTAGATTCCTAGATATTGATTGAAAACTGGTCAATAGTCAAAATTGACTTATCTCCTTTTACCACTTCGCTATCGAATTCCATTTTACCATGTAACTCTATGACTGACAAAAATTAAAAAGAATGTATTTTTGTATTACAATAGCAATATTGTTATTAATATCTCAATTTTCGTTGATAAGAATGATTTTCAACGAAACGAAGTATGTTCCATTGAAGAGGCATTTCATTATTAACGTTCATCACCTTGATTTTCCCTATTAATATTGAATATTCAATAAAACATTAAAATATTCATGACCTCGACAGTTACATGATGTAAGCGATCAATCCTTTAACATTAACGCGATAAAGAGCCCTCGTCATGTCACCTAGCGATGTGTCATAACAAGCACGTTCCCATGAACCTCGAAACACCCTACAAGTTCTCATTACAGTATCAATAATAGATACCCATTCCTCCATGAACTTGAGAGCCTTCGGAAGTCGTGAATAATGACCGAAGGCTTCATGCTTCCATTCCGCAAATTCAATGGAAGAAAGGAAGTAGGCATAACTCGGAAATCAATTTTTACGGAGCTTCCAAGTCATGAGAAGTGCAGAGACTCATCAAAATGAGAATAGCCAATTTTGTTTACATGCGATCAAGTGCGGGAGAGGTTAAGGAAGGCCCACCGGTTGAACTCACCTTCTTTATCAGTGGCAGTCTGCTGAATCTTGAGAACTTCGTAGAAATTACGACTGCCAAAGTACTTCTCACACAGATCCACGAGTTTTGCCATTTTTTTGTGTTTTTATTTGTTAATACGTACTAATTTGTGGAAGAATATTGGAAATCGACAGAGGAAAATCAAGAACAGTGACAATCTCACGCCGCCATTTTTTACCGCGAAAATAAAAAAGAAGAGGTGGCGCCATCGTGGCATTTTTATGAGATTTTTCTTCGTTTCTCTTCCGGTAAAACAGTTTTGCTGGAGAAATCGAATGAGTTGACAACAGATTTACGAATTTATTTTGCAAATACGTGTTGAAGGAAGAGGATTGATTAAAATCATAAAATCACCTTTTTTGCAGAAAATATTACAAACTGTAAAGGATATTATTCAATGTTTTTATCTAAATTAAAGATGCGAGCAAATTTCATGACATGTCAGATGACGGTCATGTGACATTACCGATCAACGAATGACCAATTACTGTCGCATGACAAAAATGTGACCGACTTACCCTATGACGGTCATATCGCATTTAAGTCCAAATTTTCTTTTCTGATTTTATCTGAAAGTTAAGGACAATAACACGGTCAGGGCGCATCACAGCGTGATGCGTGATGGAGGATCCTCTATCATACCTTACATTCAGAAAAGACATCGGGGGAGCGATTTTGCTCGTTTTATGTCGACATAAAATCATAAATTTCAACCAATCCTAGTTGAGTATTTCAAATCCAGGACTGTCATTAATTGAAATTTACGATTTTATGTCGACATAAAACGAGCAAAATCGCTCCCCAGCACTTGCCTTCTACTTTATAGCGCTTTTCTTGGCGCGATTTTTTTCCAACTTGTCTGGGTGTATTTCTTCGAAATAGTATATTTCGTTACGAGTGCGGAAATAGTATTTTTCCGGCCTGTTGCGATGGGGTTTTTTACTCGTGTGGCGTTGGCCTCCGAGCCATAGGCGAGGAGTGGCCAACCACAAGTAAAAAAACCCCATCGCAACAGCCCAGGAACAATATTTTTCTGTAGTGATTTTCAAGTTTTCGAGTTTGGGAAGTATGTAATACCAATTCCCAGACGAGAAATCGTGAGAAGCAGTACAGAAAAGAGTTTTTTGACTCGTGGGAGGTTTATAGTACGAGCCGAAGGCGAGTGATATAATCCCACGAGCCAAAAAACACTTTTCTCACGAGTATCGAACGATATTTTTCATCACAATGTGTGGAAAGGGGATCTTTTAGGCACGCCAAGCGTGATGAAAAAAATTTTTTTGTTTCGGATTTTTGTTTCGGTTCAATTGTTTTATCGAAGTTTAAATTCCCAAGAAACACGTCGAAATTGAAAATAAAAAAAGTCGTTTCAAAGAAACACACCCGGATAAGTTGGAAAAAAAACATGTCAAGAACATCGCTATTAAATAAGAGGGAGATATAGCCAATAAAAGAATTATCTGAAAGTTGGCGAAACTGTAACCCCATGTAACCCCGAAGTAGTTAATTAACTATTGGAGGCTTCGTATAAGATACCTTAGGGACAGTAGGAAAGTGGAATTCCAGGAACCCGTATGCTCCCACTACGGACGCCCATAGAGAGAAGAAAAATAGGGATCAGCGGGTTTCAAATAAGATACCTCGCTCGTAGCGCCCGAATTCAATGAAATTTTCATTTTTACTGATTGAATATCGATAACTAATCAGTTTGTATGTGTTTAATGTTTTGAATTTGTATCCTACACTTTAACACGCATTGACAAGTGTTTATTGTTCGATTTCGCATGCCATAATCTCCCACCAATCACAACGTAGCCCATCAGGAACGCTTCAGTGGCGCCCCCAGGAAGAACAAATAATGTAAAATATTTTTAGAAAAAATTGCAATTTTTGTTTTTAATCGATGAATAATTGAGAAAGCATTGAATTTTAATAGTTGTTGGAAATAATTTTATTGAATTGAAAAGCACCTAAACCTAATTAATAAACTTCCTTCTTATACAATAATTATCAAACATTAACCCCAAATATTAGAACTGCGATAATTTCCATCTTAAGAAATAAGAACTTCTTGCAATTAATCACTTCATTCAAGCCTTTTTCACATCCAGAGAGACCATCAATAATACTTAATCAAAGTGGTTATTGTTCTATTTCCCATATCATATCTCCAACCAATCACAACAGCCCCCCAGGAACGCCTCAGTAGCGCCCCCAAAAAACAAATGACGATAGATATTTATTAAAAAATTGCAATTTTGCTCTTAACCGATAAATAATTCACAAAGCATTGAATTTCAATAGTCGTTGAAAATAATTTTATTGAATTGGAAAGTATAAACCTAATTCTTACAATAATTATCATAGGTTTACCACAAGTCTTAGGATTACTGACATTGTATTTATCATTTTCATCTAGAGACGGTACAAAATGTTTTGGGATTCCTCGATTTCGTTAATCGTGCACATGAACCCTAAACTACATTTAGCACTATTCGATTGTTTGAATAAAGACAATTCGAGCGAAATAAAGGGACGACAAGGAAATGCATACGCTCATACAAGGATCAAACCAATAGCCATCTCATAGTTGCTCAGCCTTACACATAAGTATATATCCATATATACCAATTTCATCAGATTTTTATTTATTACTTTTATTATCCCATAAAGTCTGGATTATCTCAATTGTGTATGAATGGATTTGCACAATACAATGGGAATAAATTATAATACTTTGGCTACGCTTTGCGGGGTATCGAAACCGTGTCTTTAATGCTTAATTCTGTCTCACATATTTTTATTATGTATTCGAAAAACAAAAATAATAATGTAATAATGGTTTGAGCGAGTAATTTACGTAGACTTCCCTCGGACATTCCTCACACATTTTCCATTAAATTTATCAAATGACTCTCGTGTCGTCTCCCCATAACGTGAAAATTTTTCATGTTTATAATTGATAATACTAATGTATATTTAATAGTATGAAAAGTACTGAGGAGACTAAAAAATTATGGTAATAAGACATTTGGAAAAAATATAAGTCATGAGGCCCTGTCGCTCGATAATTCCCTCGAACGCGAGGAACACGTGTCTCTCTTAAATGATTAGATATCCTTGAATGATTACGGAATGCAATTGTTTACACGATTACCACGGAACGATGATGATCATCCATAAACCAGTGCAACAATTGATAAATTAAAATAGAATCAATGATCGCACTGGTTTATCATTCCGTGACTTCATGGAACGTATCCGAAGGTTTAAATTGTTGGGGGTTGAGGGGGG